TCAGTGCTATGTTCTGTGCCAGTCAATAACATGCAGAGGTGTATAAAGTAATTAAAATAAATAACTGTAAATGACTTTGGTAAAAAATTAATATCACTGATAAGAAAGGTACCTAAAACGTAAAAGTCCTTGAACTGCTCATGTGTGTAATATTTCAGGCAAAAGTGTCTGAATTTGAAGAATACACATTAAATGTAATATACTGCTTTGTGCTTCTCAAAGAAGACATGCGATCTTTAGAAATCTGATCAGGAGAAAAGAGCAACTATTGAGAATTTATAATTCCAACGCTCACCATGTTAACCCAAACACTTGTTCAGTTAACAGCCTTTCTACTGATTCTTTACCTTTTCTCAGGCGGCAAAGCATTCCTGTTGTTTGTCCCCTGATGATACCTGGTTGTTGGGTCAGATCACGTTCACACAATAAACAAACTATAAAACTTTCACTGGTTTTGATCCACACCTGAGTCTAATTACTGTTTCACAAGCACCCAAACAAAGTGCACTAAAGAGGAAAATGAACCATAACTTGATTTAAATTGACTAAACACTGCAGGTGTAAAACAAAAAAAAACCTTTAGTAAAATCTTCCAAGACATCAGCATGGGAGTACGTTGAAGAGAAATCGATCTGACTGCTGTGAGGTTTATGTTTGAGCAGTTAGAAATGCTTTGCTGTTCTGCTTTCCTTATAATATATTCATGCCCACAAACAATCACCAAACACATTAACTTGCCTTTTCTTGCCTGTTTAGTCGCTAGAATGTTTTTGAACTGATCTGAACGGCTGGTGGATTCAAAATAAACGGTGTGAGCATAACGTGAGTTTGGAAAGTTTTGAAATCTTGCACTCTTGGAAACAGTTGAAAGATGTTTTTAAACTTGATCCTCGCTTGATATTTGAATAGGTTTTGGGGCGGGGGATGGAGAATCATCTTTTTTTTCTTTTTTTTTCACAGCTGCCAGATGTGATTTTCTGTACAAAACTTGTACAAAACATGCACATACAAATAAAAAATAAAAAACAGAGCACCACTGAACCACAAACAATGTATTAAGAAACAATACATTTAAGGATAAAGTTGCCAGTTCAGTAAGTTTCAGCTATTTAAGTGTGTGTTGCAGCAAAGTCTCTGGCTCAGTACTTTTTTGCTCATACCATAGTGTAAAACCATGCTTCAAGTGCTATTAAATGTAATTTGTGTCCCAACTTATGAAAAGCTGCATAATTGATCTCAAAGTTTTAAACCCTGTGGAAGAGAGGGATGGAGTCTGAGAGGCTCATGCTGCTCATTAAAGACCAGCTGCAAAAAAACAGGACTCTAATCACTGATATTCCAGTAAGAGTTGAGGAATACTCATGAGCATGACAAATAAAGTGCAAAACTTTTACTGTTTAGGTTTGAATAACTTCCCAAACATGCAACACATAGAAGGAGCTCTTGGTGAAGAACAGCACAAGGTAAACCTGTCAGTCAGGTATTTCTCTGGGTCTTTCACAACCAGTCTTGTGTCTGAATAAACAGCTGTTTCTGTTAAAAACAAACGGGCAGTGCTGCCATCCAGTCAGGGCACAGCTCACAAATAACGGCAGCATAAAATACAAGACTTTTAGTCCACACGGTCTGTTTTATTTCAGCTATTTCTTAGTGACGCAAATCAGACACTCTGCTTAACTGACCAGATGTGGTCTGACAACATAAAGCAGTTGTCAGGAAAATAAATCAGGAAGATAAAATAATAAACTTAAATCCTGTATTGTGTGGAAATCTGATAGGTTTAATTTTAATATATCATTCCAAAATTCAATCATCCTGTGGTGAACTTTATATTAGTTACATTGAGCCTTTGCTGTCATGAAATTTGCTTGTTGCTTTGCTGTTCTGATCTTTCTCCAAATAGATAATGATGACTTGCAGAACACAGGAAGGAGAGATGACTACTCGGGACCTTCCGATGCTCTCTGACCCTGTGGCTCCTGAAGATGCACAAGATGGACGTGGGGAAGCAGAAATGAAAAAGACCAACTAAGCAGTGTTCAACAGTTGTGCTTGTGATTAATGTCTGACATGAGACTTGCACTTTTCCCCCCCTCCCTTAGGCAGTCTCATGTCCATGTAACTAGGGGCGTGAAAACTAAATAAAAGAGGGTGAACTGCAGGAAGTCCTCAGAACGTTGGGTTGGAGGTACTGAGCTGACTTCCTGTCCTGCGTTCTCCTCACTCAAAGCTGAGTTTGTGTCTCTTTCTTTCTTGTTTGTATTTGTAAATGTTCTAGGTAAATTTATACCTGTCAAAATCCGAATGTTTTTTTAGGAACAAGGTAGGGTGAAGCTCTGCTCTTTGACTGAACAGTAGCAGGAAATGGGGCTGGAGATTGAATCATCCATTCAGCCATAAAGCAGCCTTGACACATTCTGCAGAAGTTCAGCATCACAGCATTCACTGCGGGGGGAAGCGGTGATGACCGAGAGGCAGGAGCTACCTCAGGCTGTTAAAACAGTTAGCTTTCTCCAACACGGGCCTCTCGCTCCTTTTAGCCGGGGTGACGCGGTCTTGTTGTGAACGCTCGCAGCGCGGTTGGGTTGAGGGGACTGAGAGTTGAATGTCAGTTTTGTCTGCCACAAACTCTCCCTGGAACTGAGATAAAATTATGTTGGGTGAGTGATTGCATCGATCCCTCCTCAGGTTTTCTGGGTACACTTCAGACAAAATGAAGAATTACGCTGCTTGCTTGTTGCTCTGAGCGACAGATGCGAGGAGGCCATTATATGACTTGAGGATGTCAGCGGCTGTCAGTCAATCCGGTGAAACAATCTGCTTGTCGTTTGCTCAGAGAGAAACAGTTGTTAGACAATAATGGCGTATTTTTATGATGAGAGATTACTTAATGCAGCGCAATATCGACTGAGACTTTGTGAGTGTCTTTTAAACATGTTAATGTTAGACTATCTGCAGGTTACCGATGACAAAAAAAATAAAACACTAAATAGACTTACCGTATTTATTCATGYATAATACGATCTCATGTATAATACTACCACCCCCTTTTTTGAGCTTAAAAAGCATAAAAAATTTAATCCTCAAACTACCTCCAATTTCACACAGATGTCAAGATTTTTCAGCCTTTGAAGTCTTTATACATATCAGTAAAATGATCATTGGACTGTTCATTTTATTTTAACAACATATGTACTAAAAGGTATTTTGACAACAAATATAGTATATCAGCTGTAGCAGCATCATATGAATTCTGGTATTTTACACATAGTCCACCAGGAGGCGCCAACACAAAAGTCAGAGACTTCACAGGAGGTTTGGACCATCTTCTGGGGGAAAAGCAGATTACTTCCTACTCGCGAGCGCCCCCTCTGGTGGAGAAACATTTTTCCAGGGATACAAACTTTTTCAGAACACCGGTTGACGGTCCCATTACAGATGAACATGTTTGTTGTTGTTYGAGGAGCGGCCCGGTTACACGCTAATGTCATTAGTTCGCTATCATTACTGAGGTGCAGGAATACGTTTTCCCCCTTTTTTTCACATCATGTCACCTGCCTGGATCTGTTACTATCTCGTTCTGAAGCACGGAGGAGTGTTGGGTAAGTTTCAACTGCTTTTTACAACGCAGTCTCTTTTCCGGACTCAATAATTTTGTGAATGAAGCCGATATTTCAGTTAAAATACGTAAGTAAAAAATTTATCCGAGTATAGTATTACCCCCCAACTTTATGGATGATTTTATGGATTTAATTTTACGTATTATACTTGAATAAATATGGTAAGCAGTTTTATTTATAGATAAACATTTTTAATGGAAGCAACTCAGAACATTAAATTTATACCTTCAGTATGGCATTTTACATCAGCCTGTAGCAGTTGTCTAACTATTCCTGACAGTCTGAGAAGAACCAAATTTGTCAATAATTATTTTGTTTCCATGTGTTTCTTTTTGATGGATGCTTTATGAAACAGGCAGGAGACGGTGCAGCCAGCACTGACCACCCTGTGCACACTGTTGACCCAAAAGGCCTCCTTACAGTCCTTCACAATCTGGGCATGCAAACCAACGCAGACTCAAGCACGTGGTAACATGAACCCCATCATCTCGACACGCCGCTGTCACCCTGCTGAACACAGGAAGTAAAATATTGATCCAAGACGAAGAGGATCAGAGGGATGCAGTGGAGACAGACAAAGGAGACTCTCTGCAGAGCGGCTGGTAAAGGACATAAAAACATTCAGAGGAGGATGTGCATTTAGATGAGTTTTCTTTATCTCAGGGCCACAGTGCATTAATTTAAACCAGCCTTTATTCAGTTGAAAGCCTTATGAATCCCTACCCGTGCAGAATCAGTACTTGGAGAGTGAGCTGAAATACTGTAAAAACTTTCTTTCTACACTGAACTTTTTAAACAACAACAATAACAATATTTTCCAGGAAACTAACAAATAAAGGATAAACAGCATGGAGCAGAGGGAGTGAAAATAAGAATAAAAAAAAGCAAACTGGTTGCAGTGAAAGTTTCTGTGTGTAGTTAGGTCAAATGCCCATGACTCACTCTGAACATGCTGCACTCCTCCCCCTCTTTGTGCCCCTCACAAAGAAAGGCCTATCACATTCCCTGTTTTATTCTTTACCATTTAGCAATAAAAATAGACATTTCCTCTTTCTCATGCTGCATATCTCCTTTCTTGGCTCCATGGATGTGTCTACCACCTCACTGCTTTCGTCATCCTCCTCTCCTCTTCTTTTCCCCCCACTCTCTGCAAGCCTCCAAAGTCTGATCTTTTCTATTTATAATATTCAACCCACATTCACCTTCTCAAGTGACACAGTAGAAGATCATTTCTTCCAATTGAAAGCAGCCTGTGGTGGTCACAGAAGGGAAAATGCAGCGAGGAGGGATGGATTTGGAAAAAGAGGTGGGAACGAAAAGCTTTTAATAACTGGAATCAATCAAACTCTTTAATTACTCACATGGCTTGTAAATATAAGCAGTTTTAAAATAATTAATGTGGTCCAAATTACACCAAAAAAACTGTTATATGACTTTATGAAGTTTATTTTAATATTACAACTGCAGTTTATATTCAAATAATGAAACAATGAGGATCCYATAAAGACAAAATCTGAAATTTGGTTAAATTTTTCTGAAGGTTTCTTCCAGTTAAGAGTTTTTTTTCCTCTCCACTGTCACCTGCTGACTTACAATGTCAAATATGAGAGACGTTTCAGTGCAATCTCATACAGTAGCTCTGTTTGTTAGATAATACTTTGATACTGCAGAGAACCGTACTGAAATTAAATGAACTGGATGTATTGTTGGTGAAGATAAGATCTGGATGTTTTAMCTTTGTATATATTTGTTTGATCACCATTTTAAGCTTTAATATTTCCTYTATTTCTTGAGTAAAATATCTGAGTACTGAGTAAGCTGTCCTAATAAACCTTAAATTCATTGAGTCCAGACAGAACTGAAGGTTTTGACTCTTTTGAGATGTAACCAGTGGGAGCTTGTCACCAACAAAAACGCTCTTGAAGTGTTAAAATATCATTACAGCCTTTCAAAAAAGAAAAAGCCTTGAAGACTTTGAAACATTATTGTTACATAATATAAGTAAGAGACAGGGGGRAAAAAGAAAACTCAAACAAGGGGGCATTGATTTCAAAGACTTATGCCTGGAGATACATTCAGCCCAGTTTACTGTTTGACTGAGCCTTTTGTGTTAAATAAAAAAAAAAAAAAACATGTTCAAAATACTCAATGACACAAAAAGCCAAACATAAAAGCAGATGGAGAAAAAAAAACACATTTACACACAACGGACGCCAATAAATGATTTATTTTATTGAAAGGCATAACCCACTCCTTTTTATAAAAAAGTAAATATAAATTTCAAATGAATCTTTTAGGTCATTACTTACAAAAGCTTATTGAGTGTGTCTTTAATGTCAAAAATACAACAATTATGGAACAAACACAGTGAGAGTTTGTATAGTAAACCTATATAATTTCACTACTTCAAGTTATTGTGTAAATATGTCAAAAATAAAACTTAAATTGTTTTTGTCTTTAAATATTTAAGAGGTATGAAGGTATTTTTAAAAAATATTGTTGAATCAAGTGACATTTCAACAGTTCTGAAACAATACAACTATATGATGATACATGATCATCGATGAATGACTGACAATTCAAAATAAAAAAGGTAGAACAGGCTTTAACAGTTCATTTAGAAAATAAAAGCAAAAAAACACATAATTTACAAGAAAAATGAAAAACATCTAACATTAGATGGAATCTAATAACTGTTCATTTAAATTTTAAACATATTTTACTGCATTAGGTGTCATATTTCTTTTTTTTTTGTTAGTTGATGTTGTTCAAATACTCAAGTACACAACACTGAAACAGTAAAACGTGCAAGAAGCAAAGCATTAAAAACTGAGCCTCGTCGTATCAGAGACGACTGGATTGCACTGAGTTGTTTTCTGTTTCATCAACATTTGATATTTAGATTCGTCAAACCCTCAGAAAAATAAGTTGCCTATCAGTTTTATTTTGGTGAAATGTATGAAAAAAAAGTAAGCCACATGAGAAACCCGCATCACTCCTTTGACCTTTTAATAATGATCACAAACATCTCTGCTGACAATGGAACAACGTTCCAACCAGCTCATATAAAGTTCACTGACTTATATTTTTATAAAAATGTTGTAATATGTCGCTCTTGAATAGCTCAGTTTTGTTGGTTGTTTGTCACATTTGCATTGAAAATATATTCCTCAAAATAAAATGTTTTGGTGCAAAAGATTAATAGTTTGTGTTGAACTGCAAGCTTTTCACATATATTAGTAACAACAATTCAAAAAAAATATTAATATAAAATAATTCAAAATTCTTTATTCTTTTATCATATTTACACCCATCTAAATTTTAACTCATTCACTCCACTATTTTATAATAAACTGTCTAAAAATATTGCATGTGCTCCTTTAGTCTTATTTATTATTTGTGCTTTTTAAAATAGTCCTTGCTATATGTTTACTTTTGTAAATTCTGTTGTTTGAAGCTAATTAGAACAGAAACAATCTGAATTTTTCTCTCTCATTTGAAACCATAAAGGGGTATTAATGTTGGCTTTTCTTCTAAAATTGAATAGTTTTTTTGGGGTAAATATTGCACAGAACCTCCAGAGTGTGCACCAGAAACATGTAAATAATTAAATATTCTCTTTTGCTGACAGCTCTCAAATCCTCATATTTAATTTAATCAATCTCATACTGTGAAAGCTTCGGGAGGTGGAGGAATCGACTTTATCATTGTTTCTAGTTTAAATGATTTTTTTTTGGTCTCTTACATTAGCTGAAGTCTTCCCAGACTTTTAAAACCATTTATTGTGAGTGAATTCGTTTTGAAGCGGCCAACATTTTGTTTCCAGGTGAAATTTGATGAGAGGTTCTGCTGTCTGGGATTGTGTGGATAAATAAGTTTGTACTCTCATTAAATGGTGAATCACCTCAGCTCTTTTCTCCTCATCAGCAGAAGTGTCTGTTTCAAACCTTGTGTTCCTTCTAATCAAATCTCTCTGAAACACCTGGCCATGGCTTCCACCTCAGCTGGTGTTGCCTTTGACTTCCTGTGTGTGTGTGTGTGTGTTTGTGTGTGCCTGAGTTGTACTGGGGACATGCATGTGTTCACGTGAAGAAGTGCAATAAAAGACCACATATGCTTTATAGCCATTAGCCCTTCTATTCTGCAGAGGTTTTCAGGGAGAGAAAGCTTCATTTGACATTGTCATGGACTAATTATTCATATCTGTTTCACCTTGACACTGTCCATCACTCGTATCTTTCTGACAGCTCATTTCGGCTCGTAGTCTGTTTGTTTCTGGACGTCAGGACTCCACAACGGACTGAACTCTCTTGTTTGATAACAGACTCTTTGAGCTAGGAGCCCTGTCATAGGCTGGACAGTATATTTGGCAATCTGTGATTGGTTGTAAACTGTCACATGGTGTTAACATAATGTTATATTACTGGCTGTTTTCTGCTGACGAGTCAGTTACAATCATGCAGAACTTCCTGATTCAGTTATGTTTATTTGTCGCTCATAATTAAATCATATTTGATTATCATACACGCAGACTTTTCTGGCATTATTCCAACTTGTTTCTGCTTTTTGTGACGACAGACATGTTTATATGATGAATGTATTTTCATTACAGTGAAACTTGTGTTTCTGCTTCCATTTATTTTTTTTTCTGTTCAGGTTTTGTATATTTTAAACACAACATAAAGACAATATAAAGAAAAGTGCATTTAAACCATGTTTAAAGTGAGGTGATAATGACCAATCAAAAACTAACCTAAAGCTTTTTGTTCAACCTCAGTTTGAGTTTAATTCAGACTGGAGCAGCAAAACAGCCAGTCTGAGTTGTGGTAATAAAATAACTCAAAATTCAAACATTTCATAGTGATTAAAATGTTTTTTTATTTGTTTTTCTTTATAAGCCCTCAAATCACATCAAACTCAGGGCCTGCAGTCTAAATTTGACTCTTTTTAACATTTTATCCAGCCCCAAAGGTAATATTTTTTGTCACATTCGTCTCATTTGAAGGTCAGCTTTCAAGCCAAGAAAACTAAGTTTAAATTTTTTTAGTCAGTGTTGATATTGGTGCAGAAAGAGCAACAGAAAATCAACTTTAATTATCTTTTGCTGTATTCGTTTCTTATTTAAAAGTCAAATAACTGGATTTTTAGTGAGGGTTTAATTTGCTGTATTGTGATAAAATGTATCTTTAAGAAATAATAATGAAAATAAGAAAATAATTTAATGATGTGTCTTTCTAGATTTTATCATATTTTCTCTTTATCTGTCAGGTTATGTATGTTCTGAATGCTACAATAAACATAATGTAGTAAAGGTTATGTGTTTTTCTATAAGACTAACTTGTAATATAGTGTTTATTTTTATAAATATTGACAGAAATCGGCCCTTGGCTTGGACCATGTTTTTAATTTTGGCCAACCTTGTGTAATTGTGTTTGACACCCCTTCTTTAAATTGTCAGTAATTTCCCATTACTGGGTTATTTTTACTTGCTAGCATGAACAGCAGCAGCAGTAGCACTTCCCACGAAAATGTCAAAATAAAACATTTGAGAGATTAAAATGTGTGTATTCATTTTTATCTGTGTAACAATGTTTAGGGGTTGTTGCTAATAAACAGCATGATATGCAGGAATGTCTGTGTTCATCTTTAAAGCCAATTTAAGAGAGACATAATGTGAATCTGTGGTCTAATAGTCAATTCTTTAATTAGCTACTGCTTCACATGTCATTTAAACATATTTTACAGCAATAACAAACCAACCACCTGGAATAAAAACAGTCTATTAATTCAAGGTAAAAAATTTTTTTCCTTTAAACAGCGATGAAGAAAGCCTGGAAATTGTGAACTTCCTGGTGGATGTGCCGGATGTTAGTGAGTACCTGAAAAAGTCATTTGAAGGCTTGGCGTCGGTTCGAGAGCAGCCAGGAGGTTTGCTCTGCTGCTCCTGGAGGCTTTTAGAAATCTGCACAACTCATCAAGCAGTTTTTCACTTGTTTGTTTGATGGCTTGTTCTTAAAGCTCGGCGCACAGAAGTGAAACCGTTTCCTTCCCGACGCTCTGCACCGTCTCTGATCACTTTCATTACTTGTTCTAAATGAGACTTACGGCWCTGCGGGCTGCACTAATAGGAAGCTGCTGCCAAGTTCAAATAAAGTCACTTTTTGTCTTCAAAGGAAAATTCTCCTTCCAATTTTCTAACTCTTTTTAAAAAAACTGTTGTGTTCTCTTAGCGCAGTGGGATCTCTAAACACCGCTGCGGTAGCTGACTTTCTGAGGGTTTGGTATTATTAGAGGGTTTTTAAAACAGCACGGATGGCCTGATTTTAAACGAGGCCCTTGCAAAGTATAGATTGAACACAGGAGCGCAGTTCTGGTGCAGCGTGCATGAAGAAAGATGTGCTAAAACTAGCCTGGCAGTGAGCGGATGGGTGGTATCAGACACAATCTGAGAGCTAAATCTGCAGCAGTGTGCATGTCTTCCCCCAACAAGCATGTGTGTGTGTGTGGAGACAGATGTGTCTTAGGTGTGTGTATGAAAGGGCGGAGGCTGGTGTGTATTTGGGGAAGATGTAGGTTAATGGTTGTCTCTGTCCCTCTGATCTGAATAATTCATCCAGAGGGAGGCTTTTATGTGTCTCTGAAGGCATTCTGGGATTGCTCGATCAGGCTGCTGCTAAACTGCTACCTGCTTCCTCCAGTTTTAGACATGATAATGGCTACAACCTCACTGACAACTGTTTGCAGGTGTGTGTGTGTGTGTGTGTGTGTGTGTGTGTGTGGGTGTGTGTGTGTGTGTGTTTAAACAGGCCTTTAGATCGCCTAAAGCTTCCACTCTGTCAGACAATGTGTGTGTGCTGATTAAAAAAATGTGCATGTTCCTCACTTCTATACACTGTTTTTAAGGTGTCAGTCCACTAGTATTTTTTTTCTATATTCTTTTCAGTAACATTGCCAAAAATATACAAAGATACACACACACACACACACACACACCTGCAAACAGTTGTCAGTGAGGTTGTAGCCATTATCATGTCTAAAACTGGAGGAAGCAGGTAGCAGTTTAGCAGCAGCCTGATCGAGCAATCCCAGAATGCCTTCAGAGACACATAAAAGCCTCCCTCTGGATGAATTATTCAGATC